GGCAGGGGGCCGGGGGCGAGGGGTGGGGGGCTCCACCTTGGTGGAATAATTCTGATGAACCTGGGGCTCATGGTTGACCCGCAGTAAGGAGTTAAGTGCAAAAATCGGCCTTGGCTCGTCCTCGAGGCAGGGGATAGCTGAGAAGATGGCTCTCAAGGCTGTGACTGGGGAAAGAGATTGGAGAATGGTCTGAGGCTGGAAAAAGGGGTGTCCCCGGGTTTCTTCCCGCAACGCTGGTGAAACAAGAGACAGATTGCCGGGAGCCCGCACCGCATGGCTATGCCCTGAACAACTTTGGAGAATGTTCAGCTGTTGTCTCTTAACATGTTGCTTCTCTCTCTGTCCCCTGTCTCCTTTCATTTAGGACGCAATGTAGACAGAAGACCTTTTCGCTATGGCTAAAATGTTTCTTCTGTTCTTAATGTTGAATTCTTTTTATGTCTCTGTAAATAGAGTAATATTTTCTTCTTCCTGTTTCCAGCTAACAGCCTTCTCTTAATATATGTCCAATCTTTTGTTTTGTTTTTTAATGTTTATTTATTTTTGAGAGAAAGACAGAGCATGAGTGGGGGAGGGACAGAGAGACAGGGAGACACAGAATCCGAAGCAGGCTCCAGGCTCTGAGCTATCAGCACAGAGTCCGACATGGGGCTCGAACTCGCTGACCGTGAGATCCTGACCGGAGCCGAAGTCAGACGCTCAACCGACTGAGACACCTAGGCGCCCTTGTCCAATCTTCTGTTAAATCCAACTACTGAATTCTTAATTCAGTTATTGTTAGTTTTCAACTCTAGAATTTCATTTGATACTTTTTATAGATGGCCGTTTTCTACTGAAATTCTCCTTCTTGCTTTCTGTTTTGAACATATTAATCAAAATTATTTTATTATTTTTTTAAGTTTATTTATTTTGGAGAGAGAGAGACAGAGAGAGAGAGAGAGAGAGAGAGGGAGAGAAACAGATCGTGAGCAGGGGAGGGGCAGAGAGAGAAGGAGACACAGAATCCAAAGCGGCCTCCAGGCTCCGAGCTGTCATCACAGAGCCCAACACGGGGCTTGAACCCATAGACCCTGAGATCAGGACCTGAGTAGAAGTTGGATGCTTAACCAACTGAGCCACCCAGGTGCCCCGAATCAAAATTATTTTAAATTACATTCCTGATAACTCCATATTGGACCTTTTTAAATTATCAGACCCTAGACATTGTGTTTAAAAAATTATAGAAGTTCTGGTTGCTTTCCCCAATGACAAGGTTGACTTTTGCTTTTGTTTGGCAGTTAAAATGGGGGCAGATCACCTTAATCCAATCAGGGATTGAACTAATTTTGATCTGGCCTTCAATATTGGTAAGGCCTGTCTATTTATAGTCAACCTTTCTTTTAGGGAGTAGCGTTCAGGGGCCCCAGCTGAAAACACAGGGTATTTACCGGAGCTCTTTCCCGTAAATGAAGGCCCAGTCTTCCCACCAATGAAACTGCTAAAAGTGCTGCTTGGTTTTGTCAGCTTCTAACCGATCACTTTCTAATTGGTGTCTCATACATCAACCCTGTACTATTTTTGAATGGGCAAAACCCTGAAGGGGGAAAATGGACAATTCATTTCTCTGTTTCCCTGGATGCCTTGCTAGCCCGAAATTCCAATTTTTATCTCGCTAGTTATGTGAAACTGCTAAAACTTCAACTTGGCTTCTCTCCTCCTTAACCACCACCTATGTTCCGCTTCTCAGCCTCTCTCTTTGTGCCAGTTACTAATCCACAAATGCCTCGAGGAAAAAAGAAGTGTGGAGAGTTGGGTTCCCCTCATTGTGTTTCTCTGCTTTTCTGGACTTGGCCTTTCAGGTCCCGACTTCCCTGATGGCTCTTCTGTTCCTTAAAACAGAGTTTCAAAAAACCATTCACTTTTCTAGTTGCCCTTTGTAAGAGAGCTGGCCAGATATAAGCTCATAGCCAGAAACAGAAGTCCTTCAATATTTTTATTTTACATATCAATTAATAAGTTCTCTTTATACATCTAGGACATCAGTTCTTAATTTGAGTATGTGCTTCCCCACCCCCATTTTGTTAAAGCTTCTTTGTGATTTATAGGCATAATTCCTATCTCTGTTGTCAAATCTATTAATCTTTTCCTTTAAGACGTTCATTATTGCTTAGAAACAAATTCTTTCCTGGGGCGCCTGGATGGCTCAGTCAGTTAAACCTCCCTGATACCAGCTCAGGTCATGATCTCACAGTTCGTGGGATCAAGCCCCATGTAGGTAGGGGCTCCCCCCTGTCAGCACAGAGCCTGCTTGGGATTCTCTCTCTCTCCCCCACTCTCTGCCCCTCCCCCCCCATACTTTCTCTCACTTTCGAAATAAATAATAAACCTTTAAAAAAAAAAAGGAAAAGGAAAAGAAAAAATATTTCCTTACTTTCTCCAGACATTTCTCTACTTTTCCTTTGTTTTATTTTTATTTAAATTTAATTTTTAAATTTATCTAGATTTAATTTTGTTGCATAGAATTTTAGGAAACTAACTTCTATTTCATAAATTATTTAACAACTATTTGTTGAATAAAACATTCTTCTCTACCGCTTTGGGATTTCACCTTTTTCATGTAGTAAATTATTGCTTGTACTCTGGTTTGCTTCTGAGCCCTCATTAATCTGATTATTATTACACTTGTAATCTGCTGTTTTAGTTGCTGAACTTGAGTCATCCATTTTACTAACTGGTGATTCAAATGCCGTCTCAATGCCTTTTTTTTTGTCAATTCTGTCTTGGCTGTTCATGTCAGGATTTCCTTGCCCTACAGTGTCAGAAGCGATTAGGATCTAGACTAAAGTAGTAACAGTGGGGATACAGAGCAACAACAGAAGACTGTGCTATTGAGTATTGCCACATTTTAGAAGGCTTGAGGGATTTGGAGGCTGGAGATGGCCTTTCCCCTGATGCAGCCTTCTGATTTAGGAAACTGGGAGAATGATAGTCTCATTAACTGAGATTGGAAATGTAGGAGAATCAGATTGTGACACAAACCAAGGGTCATCTGTTCAAAGAGCAGAAGCAGGGTATTATACATAACTGTAAGATATTGGTGATGTTTCAAAAAGGCTTCATTGGCTACTAGGATAGAAAGTTGATTTGGGAAAACTGAAAAACAAAAACAAAAACAGCAAGTGAAGTCTAGCTTGGATTAGGTATGAAATGAAATTTGTTGTAGCACCAGTTCTAAAAGATGTGTGATTTTTAAGGAGCAGTCCACAGCAGCCTGTTTTATATATTCTGCCAAGTAAGATATTCTGTTAGGCTATAAACAATGTTTGCACTGGATTAAGGAGCCTGAGTTTGGGACGAGGAGTACAGAAGCAGACTGATCAAATTTGGGAGATGTGGGGGCAAAAGAGTTGCAAGTGAGGAAGTAGAAGCTACTAGTGAAAAACTTTTAACATGACCCCATAAATTCTAGTTTTGTAAAGAAAGAAATGAAACCAGGCAGATTATTGCAAATGTCAAATATGATTCTAAGAGCTGAAAGAGTTTTGCAAGCTCTGTCTCAAACTAAGGCTATGCTTTTATTGCTTGGTTATTTATGTGAAGGATATGGTGGAGCTAGGGTGAGCCCCGACCCCCTCTGTCTGCCTATGCCGTCTGAAGCCTGAGGCCATAAGTTTCTCAACAGAGAGCCTGGAGTCCAATTTGTAAGGAGAATGTGCAGCTTCTTAGTATCTTTCACCTGTATGTATACCAACTAGTCTTCCTTTACTCATCCTTAAAGAAACTTAGAAAATATCAGCTTGAGTTGTATACACTAGGTCTGAAACACTGTTTCTGCTAAATACAAAGAATAGAGAGAGGGAGAATTTTTTAAGAGATCTGTTTCAACCAGGCTCCTCTGGCTTCCTTTGACTTCAGGCATTTTCCCTAGTTAAAGTTTGGACCACAGAATCAAAACTGCAGAATTTTAGCCTGGGAAGAAATTGTTTAATTTATTTGACTCCTTCTACTTTTTTTTTTTTTTTTTCATTTAATAATTGAACCAAATTAGGCACAGAGAAGTTAAGGCTGAAGTCACCTCTACATCAAAAGCAGAGCCAAACCCAGGAAACTGTTCCCTTGCAACAGATTTAGATACTTTCACTATACTGTGGTGATTAAAAAATTCATGTTAATTTACTGGATTAATTTACTGTTTCACTTTGCATATTGTACCCCTCCCCCACCGTCCTTTAAGATTCAGCAAAATTTTTAATGTGGAAGAATAAAAACTGGTTTCGATCCTCTCTTTTCAGAGTATCAGATTTCTCAAAAGAGCTGACACAAAGCACTTTTGTAACCAAATTTAATATGAAAGCACTGAGAGTATGCAAATAAGGCACAAAGCCAAATTTTAGAAATGAACTAAAGAGATAAAGAATTAACATGGTGCCATTTTTAAGATTAGACTCTCGTCCTGTATTCCTGTTCCTTTCTGGTTTTGAAAAGCCACAAGCAACTCTCACTCCAGTCTTGCTGCTGTTGGCTGGCAACAGAGCGAGCTGCTAATCAGCTCTCATTTTTTTTTAGCATTGTCTGTTTAGACATGCTCACCAACCCCCCCCCCCCATCCTGTTCTACTTCAGCATCAGAAGGAAATGAAGCCACAATGAGAACAAAAAGAGCTGTCACACCTTTTGTCCCCTGCCTCCTCCTTCCCTCTTCACAGTCTTACCCACATAGAGCTACTCCACCCCAGTTGGACTGTAGCGTGACATCCCTGCCTGCCTGAGGGAGGAATGAGAAGGGGAAACTACAGCTGCAGACAAGTGACACCCAGAAGCCAGGAGCTTCTGTAAGTACCAGGTCTGCACAAGACCCAAGTCAGCGCAATGGCAATGACGCTGGAGGAATTCGTTCACTCCCTTGACCTCAGGACCCTTCCCAGGGTTCTAGAAGTCCAGTCGGGCATCTATTTTGAAGGTAAGCACTCTCCTATCTCTTGGCTGGCTAGAAAGTTCTCATAAGATATGTACTCTTGGAAACCGGAGGGGGAAATTTTAATAGAAAATATGTGCGTTCCTTTGAAAGGAAGGTGATCACAAAAGAGAGAAAGTAACTGACAAAACTGTCACAATCTAAGAGTGCTAGAGAAGAGAAACTAATAGGACTCTGGGGTAGATAGGGAAAAGGAATGGAGTGAAAAGCGTGAGCTTTCTGGAGGCCTTCAGATAGTCCAACATGAGTGGTAAATTATTTCTGCCTCTTTGAAATGGGTTATACTCCAAGAGTGAAGAGTCGCTATCCATGTTTATATTTCTAGGATATAAAAAAAGTATTTTTTAAAAACAAAAACAATTATTAAAAGCACAGTGTTTAGAAAGAAAAACTAACCAAACTCTGAACCACTTTGCAATGTTGCTTATGCCAACATTTCTCTCACTTCTTCTGGAGTGGCCTAACTCCTAACTCTTTAGATAATGACATTCTTATTTGAAGGCATAGAAATTAATATCTACTAATTGCAAGGTAATTTTTAAGAATCTGTATTGAAAAATCAGGGTTTCATTAAGATTATTTAATAAGTTAGTGTACTTCGATGTGACTTATGATGTTAGTTCAGTAGAAAAATGTTAAAGCCTATTAACAGGTACCCTAGAATCTTTAAGGAATTACTTTGAATACATGCAAGACAAAGAGTTATTTTCTAGGAAAATATATATTTTTGGTCACAAGAGTGGTAGGGTTGAGGCAGTAATAGAATTAGATCCAGACAAACTACTGGAAAATTAAGGTAAATAACTTCTGGCAGTCCAATCTTTCTCATTCAAGACAAAATAATGTGTTACATATATATTATTATATTATGCAATAAAAATTGACAAATATCAGACCTAGTTCATACTCACACACACACACACACACACACACACACACACACACCTCTGCTATATCAGCTTAGCACTGGATTTTGTTTAATTCATTTGTCAATTGATTATACGGAATCAGACCGTATTTTTCCATGTATACAATATTAAGAAATGTATCTTTGTTCCTGCGCCAGCCCCAAATCATTTTTTTTTTGGTTTCATCGTTTGTGTTTTTGAAGCTTTGCATACGAAATTACAGAGATATTTTTATTATTGTATACCAACTTTGCAGTTTTATATTTCTCATTTAGTTTTTAAACCATTTGGAGGATTAGATATGGTATAGAGGGATCCAGTTTTAGATTTTTCCATATAATAAATCTGCTTTCCCAGTACCATTTGAGAAGCTAGTCATCCTTTCCCAATTGATTTATGTGGCTACTTTTACATCATATTAGGTACTCACATCTGGATCAGTCTGTCTCTGAAATATTTCTTCTATTCCATCAGTCTGTTTTTTCTTGATTGTGCCCAAATCACCCAATGTGTGTAACAATAGTTCCAGGCTAAGTGTTAAAATATATTTCATGTATAGATCAGTCCCTTGTTTCTACTCCTTTTTTCTAAGTTGACTTAGCTGTTCATAGACCTTTTAATTATGTTTTTAGAGAAATTAGTTACTTAAGAAATCCTACTAGAATTTGCATTAGATTGTATTGAGTTTATAGATTAACTTGAGAAAAATTGACATCTTTATGTCATCTTACAAAAGAATATAGCATGTCTCTCCATGTGTTCCGACCATCTTCATTCTTTACTACGTCACTACTATGTTACACTTCAATTAAGAGAAAAGAGTGAACAACTTGATGAATTTTCACAAGTAAACACATTTGTATAACCACCACTGTAGTCAAGAAATAGAAAATTGCAAATATTCTGAAAGCTCTAGTTTGTGCCCTTTCTCAATCATTATCCACCATCTTCTCCATAGGTAACCATTATCCTGACTTTTGTCCGTTTATGAACTTACACAAATGAAAAATTATAGTATGTATTCTTTCTGGTTGGCATATATGTTCAACATTATCTTTGTAAAATTAACCCATGATGTCCTATATAGTGTGTATAATAGTCTGTTGGATAAATATACCACAATTTGTTTATCCATTCTATTGCTAACGGACATTTGGATTATTTCCACTTTGGAGCTGTTACCAGTAATGTCATTAACATTCTTGTCCAAGTGTGTTCACTTGTATGTGCATTCAGTTGGGTATATGAATAAGTGGAGTTGCCATGTCATATGCTATGTATATGTTCAGCCTTGATAGATAATGAAAAACAATTTTTCCAAGTAAGTAGTTATACCAATTTATATTCCCACCAGCAGTCTATGAAAGTCCCAATTAATCCATGTCTTTGGTAGCACTTGATGTTATCAGTCTTAGTAATTGCAGTTATTCTGTGAAGAGTATAAGGGTAGCTCATGGTTAGTTTGCATATCCCTGGTGACTAATGGCCTTTTAGAAATGCTATTTTTTTTTAAAGATTTTATTTTTAAGTAATTTCTAAACCTAACATGGGGCTCAAACTCACATGTCTGAGATCAAGAGTCACACGCTCCACCGACTGAGCCAGCCAGGCACCTAGGAAATTCTATTTTGTGAAAGACATTGTTCATGTTGGTGGCTCATTTCTTTATTGGAGTTTATAAATTTAAATACATACATATGTGTATATATTTGCATTTATATGTATGTATATGTGTGTGTGTGTGTGTGTGTGTGGAGAGAGAGAGAGAGAAAGAGAGAGAGAGAGAGAAAGAAAGGGTCCTGACCCTTTATCAGTTTTTGTCAGTTACCTGTGTTGCAAATGTCTTCTCTCAGTCCATAAATTGACATTTCATTTTCTAAATGTCACCTTTTGATGAATGGAAGTTTTTAATTTTAGTGTTAATGTAGTCAGTTTATAATTATTTTCCTTTTTGTGTGTTGTCAGAATTTTCTTTATCCTAAGTTCATGAAGACATTCTCTCAGCATCTATTCCATTTGTTTACTCCCTCCTTTAGATCTGTAATCTACTAAAATTGATTTTGTTTTGTATATGATTTGAGGTTGAGATTAGTGTTTATTTTTTCTTCTATGGAGCCAATTGGTGCAGTGACTTTTATTGAAAAACTGCCTTTTTCCTACTGCCTTACTGGGCTACATTAGTCATTAACAGTGTCCATACATGTGTGGGTCTCCTTCCACAGCATCTATTCTGTTCCATTCGACTAATTGCTATTCTTACATTAATTTCACCCTATCTTAGTTAAAGCAGGTTTGCAACAATACATAATTTAGGTTATGTTATGTATGATGATATGCTCTAAGACCTGTGGTTCTCAAACTTGGTTGCACATGAAACACCTGGGAAATATCGAAAATATCGATGCCTAGGTCTCTCCTCAGAAGATAAGGATTTAATTATGTGATAAGTGCGGTGTCACCATCAGGTTTTGGAAAATCTCCCTGATGATTATAACATGCAGCCAAAATTGAGAATTATAATGTAGAATAAGTTCTTCCAATTTATTATTCTCTTTCAGGTTAGGCAGTGTGAATTTTCATATATATTTCATGTACATTTAACTTACCAACTTCCACAAAAGTGTTCTTGGCATTTTGCTTAGCAATGCCTTGGTTTAGAGAGAATTGGCACCATTTAAAATTTTTTTTTAATGTTTATTTATTTTTGACAGAGAGACAGAGCATGAAGGGGGAGGGGCAGAGAGAGAGAGGGAGACACAGAATCCAAAGCAGGCTTCAGGTTCTGAGCTGTCAGCATAGAGCCCAACATGGGGCTGGAACTCATGGACCATGAGATCATGACCTGAGCCAAAGTGGGACACTCAACTGACTGAGCCACACAGGTGCCCCAAATTGGCACCATTTTAAATTAAGTCTTCTGATCCATAAACCTGGTATAGCTATCTAGTTATATAGATCTCTTTTCATTTTATAGCTTTTTTGTGTGTGGAGTTCTTGCACTTCCTTTTATTCTTAATTTGATTTTTTTTTCATTCCATTATAAATAGTACCTTTTGAAACTTTCATTTTCTCTTTGTTGTGTTTGTTGAATTCTAAAAACATATCTTTAGATTATTTTGGATTTGTTATATACACAGTCATGTATTTTATGAACATTGACAGATCTCATCTTTTCTTTCCAATTTTTTTTTTCAGTTAAAGAACTGATTAGTGTTTCTAATGTAATACTAAATAGGAGTAATGATAACCCCCCCATCTCTATTTACAACCACAGAAAATTTCAATAATTCATCTTGAAGTATGTTTGTTTTAAGTTAAAGAAGTATCCAATTTTCTGATAATAATTTTTAATCATGAATGTACATTTAACTCATCACATATTCTTTCTGTGATTTTTGTGATGATTATGTTTTTTATATTGATTCATTTTTAAAATGTTAAATAAGCATTTTCAATGAGGAATAAAACCAATTGGGTCATATAACACTAAATTTGGTTCACTAATTTTTTTTTTTCTTTTAGGATTTTTATATCTCTTTTAGAGAATGAAATTGGCTTATAATTTTTATTTCTTGTAATGTCCTAGCCATGTTTTTGTACTGAGTTATGTTGAACTTAATAGAACTTCTTTGGGTAGAGTCTTTTTCAATTCTTCTAAAGATGTGCAAATATGGTGTTACTTCTCATTTAAATATTTAGTAGTATTCTTAATGAAACCATTCTGAGCTGGAATTTCTAATATAGAGATCTTTTTAATTATGACTTCCAAGTTCTAAATAGTAAGGTCTTCCTATCTATGAGCAATGTTTCTCTCTCATTAAAACAAAAACAGAAAAGCAAAACTCATCTTCTAGATCATGTATTAGAGTTCAAGATAATGTTTCCTAGAATGCACACACTTACTTACATATGTGTATATACATTGCTATATTGACTAATAATCATATATCTTTTGTTTTCGCATTGATTATCACCAAAAGAAATGCAAGTAAATATCAACAGTACTAATGAACACTCATTAATTCTAATAGTTTATCTTTTTTATTTCATTGGCTTTCCTAAAACCAATAGATACTG